CTATTTGACGATCCATCCGAATTTCCTAATTTCTACCGCTAGATAACGTTCATAGTTTCCTGTCTTTTATAACGGCTTTTGTATCGTATTTCAGTATTCCTTTTTGAAATTATTTTACGTCAGTTTATTCAGTGAAAAAAGTGTCGTTAATATTCTATCGCTATTTTTTGGTTAATGTCGCAGTATACGAAGATAGAAATTCTATTGTTAACAATTTTCAGATGTACCAGAAAGCTATAACGTAAGTACAAAGTGACATTCAGAGAATTATTTGTAAACAGATTTAGAATAAAATGTATTTAAGTGTATAGCAAAATATTTAACACCGAATATCATAATTCTTATATTTTTTGTGTGTCAAAAGTCCTATGAATTATCATTCTCCCCATTTTGTTGTATAGTTCCAATTAAAATACTTAAAATATTATGAGGTTAACAATCAGTAGAAACTATTATTTAACAACATAATAACATAATTATTTGAATTATGCAACATTATGCTTGGAAAATGTTATACCACAAATATCCCATTGTTTTATGAACATTTACAACATTCGCTATTTTCGTAAATTATAAACTCAAATGGCTGTCACGGACAATTACTACGTGACTCGATGCAATAGCAATTATTCCTCGCAAGTACTTCATTTAATCGTTTACCATGATTACATTTCATCAAAAATGAGATCAGATTCAAATTTAGACCAACAAATCTTAATTCAATAATTAACATTATGTTTACGTTAACATGGCGAAACGTATTTTTACATTTTTCGGCTTTGTCCGTTTTTCGTCGCTAGTACCACGTAACAACGCTCATGCAGATTTCACTTTTCTCAAGACAAACCAATTTCACCGAGTGGTCTGGCCATTTCTTCAATGGCCATTGCCTTTTACTTTCGTACCAACTTATTTCGTGCTCGATGAACGTTAAACGATATTTATCAGGAATAGCGACAGTATAAATGTAACGTACTTAAAATTGTTCACGTTTCGACGTATATTTCGCGTATCATTCGTTCCAATGCATTTAATTACAATCCTTGAATCTTTCGCAATATTTCAAAATTTCATTTCGACCTGTCTCGAATAAACCAACTTGTCTCCTATCGTTACTTCTAACCTCAACCAAAACATTCAATAAAAACATTATCTGTTAACGTTAAAACAACAAACGATAGAAACAATTACAATAAAATCTTCGCAATAATTGTCTAATAATGTTCAAATTAATTTGAGTCATCGAGGTAATGAGAAAGTACTACATATTTTCTTTTTTTTTACCGCGCTGTTTCCTCGTGTTCGGTCGATAAAACAGTTTGAACGTTTTTGCGTGATTATCGAGCGAGAGATTTCATGCGGACACGAATTAACCTCAGGAAATGCTTTTGGAAAATGGTAGTTTCGAATCACGAATCCCATTGTCGGGAATTCGCTGATGCATACAGTGACACAAAGCGGTGCGCGCAGACGCTTAACCAATTTCCGCTTGTTTTACCAAAATCGAGGTCGTGGAGCCGTTAAGCGTCAAGGATCACTTACGATCATCAAGTCAAGATTCTACGTGTATGACTCATGGAACTCTTTTATCTCGACTATGATTCCTTCCACATGCATCCTCTCCGTAACACGCGCGATCGCGTTTAAATAATGTTCCATTGTTAAAATATTGCCTCCTCTTCCCGTTCGATCAAGCTTGGCTCGCTTCCGCGACTTTTACGCCGGCCGAAGGGGGGTATGAATTTTTTTACTTTACAAATGGAGGAATCTCTGTCGATAAGTACGAACGAAATTTTTTTTTTTACCATTTAACGTAGGCATAGTAGGAAGTGAAAATTATTTTCAGTGGAATTGAAATTAGTTGAAATTATTTTCAGTGTAATTGAAATTAGTTGAAATTATTTTTAGCCGAATTAAAATTAGCTTAAATTATTTATAGTGTAACTTATTTGCAATGGAATTATTTATTTACAGTCAAAGTAGGAAGTTTAAGTTATTTATCTCGTACAGTGCCGAATCATTATTTTTTAATTATTATTGACAATTGCAGTTTTAAAGTTTAGGCTCTAATATTATTTCATTAAGGTTATGACATCTTATAGTCGCATTTTTTCGAAGTAATTAAGGATAGTAATTGGATGTTCTGCCTTTGATGGATCACGCTGTACAGTGTTAAAAGCAGCTTGAAGTAGTTGCAAAAAGCTCTCGGGTTTCCATGTTAAAAGCAGCGTTTAACGAGACAGAAAACAACCGGGGAACAATCTTTTGGTCTTTTTATTCCTGTGCCGCGCTTACCTTTTTCGTTTGTTTATTTATTCGCGTAACGAGTTAAAAAAGCTTGCGCGATACATAATGCGGCGGGGCCGTAACGAAATCGCAGAACAAACGGGACGCAACAATGAAAACACCGGTCGGAAACAAAAGGTACGAAATAGTAGAAACCGAGGGAAATTAAGGTTTCCTGTTAGTCATTTCGTGTTGTTCATTCGAAACGTTGTTTCCAATTATTTTACAATCTAGCCGTAAATTCGAGTTTACGGGGCATGTGATAATCTTTGTTATCGTTTCGAGCTACCGTGCTCTTAATTCGCAGAAACAATCGAACAATTGATATTTTTAAAAAAAGATTCTTCATTTCTTCAGTTTTCATACCTTTTTTTCTTTTTAATCGTTCAATTTCTATTGTTAAATATGAAGATTTCTAGTTTCTCGATTGAAATTTTACAATTGTTCTTTATCGACTATAAAGATTTTCAATTTGTCATTTTTAAAA